ACCACTGAGCCACCGGGGAAGCCCCCAAGGCAGGTACCAGTATTTAAACTTCAGGATGCCCACCACATGTGACTGTTTCTCTCATCCAGGGCAGTCTTTGAAGTTCATTATTATCAACACTCTATGATCTTTTTCCAAACTCAAACTGCATAGAGATGATCTTTAGCAACAAGTTCCAAGAAACCAATCTGATTCTTTTTTTGTCTTGATGGATACAACTAAGTGCCCTATGGTCATTTTAGAGTAGCCCAGAAAATCCTGGAACTTGCTCTCAGACCTAATGAGTAAGTTAATTTGAAGACCCACATCATCCCCAGTCAACATGGAAAGAGCCTGGCAACTCCCAAGTCTAAGGCTCTGGAATTTTCCTCCCCACTGGCCTGTCCCCTGCCTTCATAGATGCATTTCCCCACTCTGAGCTGCAAGCACAGCCCAGTGACGCCCAGCCCAGCACACTGATCCCATGAGCATGATACAACATAGCCCACATGAAAGTTTCTTTCACTCCAGCTTACACCCAACTTATACCCAACTCTACACCTTTCATCTTCATCACTTAGCCTTCAACCATTTTTATAGTTCACTTACTCACTTCTTCAAAAATTATGTATGAGTATCTATTATGGACTAGGTCTGGGTATACAGTGGTCAACAACAACAGGATAAATGCTTACCTTGCCCCAATGAAGCTTACAGTCTAATGGGAGTAGCATATTAACTAAATAACCACACAAAAAACTGTAATAGGTTTGTGTGTGTAAGGATGGGATACTTGAGAATTATAACAAGGAGCCCCAAATTTGACTCGGAAGTCATCTGGAAAATAAGTAGGAATTAACTAAGCATATTGATAGAATGCAGAGAAGCAGGGGCTGCCAGGCAAAGGGAACAGTGTATGAACTGGCCATAGACTAAGAAAATCATGACACACGGAGGAATGGAAAGAAGGCCAGTGTGGTCAATGACTGGAGAAAGAAATAAGAATAAAGTGAAGAAGTTTTCAAGGACCAGACCACACAGGGCCTTGTAGGTGGACAAGACTAAGGACTCGAGTCTTTGCCCTAAGGACCATGGAAAGACATGAAGGATACTTATCACAGGGGATAACAAAGTAAGGTTTTGGAGTTTTCTGTGGTCCAATGGTTAGGATTTGGTGATTTCACTGCCATGGCCCAGCTTCAATCCCTAGTCAGGGAACTAAGAGCCTGCAAGTTGAGAGGCATAGCCAAAAACATAGTATAGTTTTGATTTCAAGAACATCGCTCTTTCTTTTGTATACATACTAAGATTAGGTAGAGACAAGAGAGGATGTCACAAATTTATTGTGGTGCTTTAGGGAACAGCTATATTGGGAGTCTGGACCAGGTCGGTGGTGTCATGGGTGAAAGAAGTGTATGAACCAGGAGCTAATTCCAGAGCAGAAGTGAAGGACTTGGCAGGGGTTATATAAAAGGGGAAAAGGACAGTGTCAAAGATTCTTCCAGGGGTCTGGGATTGTTAAACTACATGCCTGAGGGAAATAGTTACTGAGAAAGGGAGCAAGAAAGGAGAATCAGGTTTGTCTTGGGTTTTTGTTCTGTCTTGTCTTTATATCATAGCGATGCAAGTTTAGATCATAATTTGGTTTTGGATGGGTGAAGTTTAAAGTGCCTTTGAGACATATGAAGGGAAAGTCAGGCAGGCAGTTAAATGTAAATGTCTAGAACCACGGCTCTAAAATCAGCGGCACATTTTCTCCCCAGGGAACGTTTACCGATGTCTGGAGAGGTTTTTGGCTCTCACAGCAGTGTGTGGGGCGCTACCAACATCCAGTGGGTAGAGACGGGGACGCTGCCCAGCATTCTGCAGCGCACGTGACGTCCCCACCCTTCCCAGCAAAAGATTATCCCACCCAAAGTGTCGGTAGTACCAAAGATGAAAAACTCTGGGCTGCAGATCTTTGCGAGTCACTGGCCAAACGCCTTGGGCACTGATGAGATCATATAGGGAAAGAGGAAGAATAAGAAGGAGAGCGGGGCAGTGCGAATTTGGGAGGAACTCTAACACCTACTGGCGGGATGATCCAGCAGGAATGTACTAAGAAGGAGCAGCCTGAGAGGTAGAAGAAAAAATGCAAGAGTGGGGTCACAGGAGCCAGAGGCTTAAAGTGTCAGATGCTCCTGAGAAGACTAAGAAGACGAAGACTAGAAAGCTGCTTGTGTTTCTGGAGTGGACGTCATCCGTGGCCTTGGCAGAGCGGTGTTGGCAGCACATTATTAAGTAAAGACACATTTCGGTGAAAGATGAGAAAATGGAGGCAGCTAGTGTAGACAGCTCTTCCAAGAAGAGTGGCTATGGGAGGGGGGAGAAGGAAGAATCCGTCTTGGCAAGGAACATGGAAGTCAAGAATTGTTTGGAGTTCAGTGGTGTTTTTCTTGTTTTATTTTGTTTAAATTTTTTATTATGGATAGTGTCTAACATAGATAAAGTAAGCAGGCTATTATAATAGACCTCACTGTACCCTGAATTCTGTGAACTCTGGATTGTTTTGTTTCTCAGAAGAGTAATTTAATTTTTGTTGTTGTTGTTGTTCAGTTGCTGAGTCGTGTCCAACTCTTTGTGACCCCAGGAACTGCAGCACGCCAGGCTTTCCTGTCCTTTACTAGCTCCTGGAGTTTGCTCAAATTCATGTCCGTTGATTCGGGTGAAGCCATCCAACCATCTCATCCTCTGTTGCCCTCTTCTCTTCCTGCCCTCAGTCTTTCCCAGCAGCAGGGTCTTTCCCAATGAGTCCACTCTTCACATCAAGTAGCCAAAGTATTGGAGCTTTAGCTTCAGCATCAGTCCTTCCAATGAATATTCAGGGTTGATTTCTGTTAGGATTGACTGGTTGGATCTCCTTGCAGTCCAAGGGACTCTCAAGAGTCTTTCCCAACACCATAGTTCAAAAGCATTAATTCTTTGGTGCTCAGCCTTCTTTATGGTCCAACTCTCACATCCATACATGACCACTGGAAAAACCATCACTTTGACTATACAAACGTTTGTTGGCAAAGTGATGTCTCTGCTTTTTAATGTGATGTCTAGGTTTGTCATAACTTTTCTTCCAAGGAGCAAGCCTCTTTTAATTTAATGGCTGCAGTCACCATCCACAGTGATTTTGGAGTCCAAGTAGGCCGGACTGAAATTCCAAACTCTGTCCCTACTGATGGGCAGCAGTGGAAATCTCTGCTGGGTTCTTCCATTGTCCAGCTGCAGTTTTGTTTTTTTGCCAGACCCTTGGGTGTGTATAGTTGAATCGTCAGCCAGTTATTTGGGCAGGTTTTACACACAAACTTGGATGTTCATCCTCTCTGCCTCTCCTTCCCTTCCAGAACTTTCCCCTTTGCTTTCTGAGTGCTCTTCCAGCTCCAACTCACTTCTCTGACACCTCAAGCTAGTAGGACTGAGGCTTTCTGCTGCCCCAAGTTACTTGCATGTTAGACTGCCCTCAAACAAAAGCCCCAGATTGGCAACTCTCAAAGGGTATAGTTCCTGCTTTCAGAGGTGGATTCCTCTCCAGTGTCTGTCTGCTTCAGGCTCTGTAATTTTCACTGGAACAGGAGGATTGGCTGTGGATACAGAAGTGTATAGGTTCGCTGTTGGAAAACTGACAGAGATGCTTCCTGAGACATCACAGACATGGTCACTAGGGCAGTGAGGGGAAAGGTGAGGCAGTTGGAGGTTTGAGAGCAAAGAAGTTGACACAGTCTTTGCAAAGAGTGAAAAGACTGAATTTTGGTCAGAGAAACACTGCAGGCATGGAGGCTGGTCAATGCTGAGAGTCTGTGTGGGCTGACGCCGAGAGTGGATGGTGGTGCAGTCAGTCTGCCCTGTAGCAGGACTGGCTCCACCTGCCCTCGGCGGCCTGGCTGGGAAGGCCCAGGGAGCAGAAAGTGGGTTTTCTTAAGGGTGAGGGTTTCACAAGACTGGTGGGACCAGAGAACAGGGCTGTGGTGTTTACAGTATTGACGAGGGCTTGACTTCAGTAATGGGTCACAACATCCAAGCACCAGGTGGAGCCGTGGCAGCCATTTGGGGGAAGCACTCTGATTTAGGCAGGACAAGTAGAACAGGGAACCACGCCCCAACACACACTTCCCCAACCCTCTCACCCTGGCAAAAACAGACTGAGTGTTTGGGCTTGGGTACTTCACAAGTCAAAGGAGCCTCTCTCTTGGGTGCATTGGTCAGGGAAAAAAAAAAAAAACAAGGTGTGCTGAGGGGGGAGAAGGAAGTGGCCCAAACCACTTGCCACCCTCTGCACCACCCACGACCTCCCCACCAGACACACATGTCCTCTCACCCTGATCCCAGGACAGGAGATTCATATCCACAGACTTAGGTCCAAACATTAGAAGTTCGAAGTCAAGCTAACAAACTGTTAAGTAGAATATGTTTCATCCTCCTGCTTTACAATATATCTTCATATGGTCTGGAAGGCCAAGTTTGAATTTAGAATTCTCAGACTCAAGTGGTGCAGAGGAAATAGGCTCATGGCTGTCCCCAGCTCCATCCTCCATGGCAAGGGACCACGTGGACATGTATCTAGACATCACTGCCCACACATCCAAGTTCCAGTCATGGCCCCAGGCTTGGGGACCCACCCACTGCAGTGTGGTCTGTCCTTGGAAGGAGGGACCCAGAGAAGAGGCCCACACAGCCCCTGAAAGCAGCCTGGGCCCACTCAGGCAGGTGATTCTGGGGTCCTGGGTGCCTGGTCTGGGGGAGGAAGGCACAGGCTGTGGAGAGCCCAGACTCCAGGTGAATACATCCCTTGATCCCACGGAGCCCTTCCCCTGTGGGGAGCGGTTGAAGGAAACCCAGCGCAGGGTCCTGTAAACTGTTTGGACTTTGAACAGGGACCCCCTCGACCCAGATCTGTGGCCAAAATTAAGTGATGCAGTGATGCGCGGTCCTTGTGGTTCCTGCGGCGCTCCTGGTCTGACTGGTCTCTGTATGCATGTGCTTTGTTTTCCTAGTGGGCTGTTTATCACCATTCATGACAAGGGCCACCTTGCAACCATGCTGAACTCTTGGCCAGAAGACGATATTAAGGTATGATCCTGCTTTCTTTGCTATTGCCCTCTTGTTGGATGAATCCTTTCAGCCTGCACTAGTCATTCTGAGCTCTAAAAGGGGCCATTGCAACACTGAGGGCAGGACACCGAATTCATTCCCCTGGTCCCAGATCATAGACCATAGTCCAGTTATAGCCAAGCACAAATGCACCATGGAGTGAAGGCTTGCATTAACCAGATACCCTTGTGAAATTGTCTGTCATCATGATCAGTGTTATTAATAATAGTACTAGTGCATGTACTGACTACTTGCTGAATATTCTCTGCTGGTTTCCATGGTGGATTCAGGGGAAAACCCAACATGGACCCTCTTCTCAAGTAGCTAACTTTTCATGAGAAAAGTGAGAGGGAGAGACACAAAAGACTAACAGGTGGGACTTGGTCAGAGATTAATGAGGCACACAGAAGAGCTGGGGGTGTTCAGAGAGAGAGTTTCCTTTTAGTCGGGGTAGTCTGGTAAGACTTCATGGAAGAGGTGACATTGGAGCAAAGCATTGAGTTGAGGGGTAGAGTTTGGACAGTCAGGCATTGGAGGGACTAGGATGGAGGGCAGGGATATTCTGCACCAACAGAAAAGGTTTATGATGAGCAACGTCTTCACCCCTGGGTGTGCACAGCAGTGTACGTGTTGGGCAGGAGGGTGAAGTGGGGGGTGGGGGAAAGGATGTATATGCAGAATGACAAAACGAACCTGTCACTGTTTCCAGTTTTACTCAAAACATTTAAGGAGGAAGTATTTTTTATAAAACAAATGATATATAATATAGAAGGCAAAATTGGTGCAGCTTTGAGGAAACTTGTTAGCCTCTGGCTGTGTACCCAGATATCCCCACGTGGGGACTTTTGTGGAATATTTCAGGGACTCTAGATTCTAAGGTCATAGTCACTTCTGCAAACAAATTTTATTGAATGATGCCACACATGCGTGTGTGCCAAGTCGATTCACTCATGTCCGACTCTGCAATCCTATAGACTGTAAGTCACCTACTATCGGAGGTATCCAAAGAGGGACCACATGGTCACTTGATGGGGGTATTGTAAAAGAGATCTGAACCTCAACTCAAGGCAGAAAGGCATTGGGCTAAAGGAATAATTCCTCTATATCTCTTCATATCTATGATTCTATAATCCTGTATTTGAAATTTGTGAAGATTGTATCTAGAAATGAATATGCTTAAAAGGAAGCTAAGTAATGATTTAGATCAGATCCCATCACCTGATCAGCCCCCTAGGACAGGATATCTCTCTGTGGTCCAGCATTGTGCTCCCAGCACCCGTTACAGTGCTGATACACGTTTGTTCTTGTTTAGTTGCCAAGTCGTGTCTGACTCTTTTGACCCCTTGGACTGTAGCCCACCAGGCTCCTCTGTCCATGGATTCTCCAGGCAAGAATACTGGAGTGGGGTGCCACGCCCTGCCCCAGGAGATCTTGCAGACCCAGGATGGCCCCGCATCTGTTAGGTCTCCTGCCTTGGCAGGCGGGGTCTTTACCACTACCGCCACATGCGAAGCCCCTGCAAACAAGTGGTTGAAGCTGAATTACAGAATATGCCCTGGCTGCTTGGTGAGGGCATTTCTTGCGCAGGAGCAAGGGAGGGACTGGAGCGGACGGCCCAGTTTCCGTACTTCCCAAGGCGATGCTGAGAGGCTGACGGTCATTTTCTCCCTCCCTCCCTCCCAGCCAGTTCCCTGGGCCACCTCCCTCCACCAGGCACCAAGGGCAGCTGCTCTCTAACTACCTCTCCTGTGTCCCACCCACTTCTGGCCCTCTCAGGGGCATGGTGGGGTTCAGAACCACAGCAAGTAGGACAGGACCTTGGCTCTTGGGAGTCAGGCTGGCGCCACAGCCAGGGCCCTTGGATTCCAGTCCTGACCTCAGCAAAGAGCTTGGTTAGAACATTTCCATCTGGGTGTGATGTGCCCTGGGGCTTCCCAGGTGGCTCAGTGGTAAAGAATCCACATGCTGGTGCTGGAGACAGAAGAGACCTGGGTTCGATCCCTGGGACAGGAAAATCCCCTGGAGGAGGGCATGGCAACCCACTCTAGTATTCCTCCCTGGAGAATCCCGTGGACAGAGGAGCCTGGAGGGCTACAGTCCACGGGGTCGCGAAGAGTCGGACCAGACTGAGCACGCGATCACGCATGTGATGTGCCTGGCGCTTCTCTTTCCCGCTTGTCTTCTTAGACTCTGGTCACAGGCAGGTCTTGACCCTGCAGGGTTTGGCCCCAGTCTCAGAAGAAGCAAGTTTCCAGGGTGTGCCTAGGATGACTGTATAATGAAATCTGGAGCTCATTAAGGGAAGCCAGCTCACTTGATGGCAAGTTAACTCCAGCACGCCCTGTGTGGACAGGCTCGGAGGTCCTACAGGCTGATCTGTCCTCCTTCCTGGGCAGTTCAGCTGTGGACTTGTCCACAGTAGGCACTCTGTAGATGCTTGCTGAGCTGAATGAACTCAGTAGAAGGACCTGATGAACATCTTCCAGATGCCAGGCCTGTGCCAGGGGCAGAGTCATGGGGTCTGCACTGACCTCTGTGGTGCCTCTGTGTGAGCTGTGTGTGTGTGTGAGGTGTGTGTGTGTATGAGCTCTGTGTGTGTGTGTGTGTGCATGCTCAGTCGCTCAGTCCTGCCCCCTCTTTGTGACCCCATGGACTGAAGTCCTCCAGACTCCTCTGTCCATTGGATCCCCCAGGCAAGAATACTGGAGTGGGTTACCATACCCTCCTCCAGGGGATCTTCCCAACCCAGGGATCGAACCCAGGTCTCCCACACTTTGGGCAGAGCCCTCACTGTCTCAGCCACCAGGGAAGCCCAAGAATACTAGAGTGGGTAGTCTATCCCTTCTCCAGGGGATCGACCCAGGAATCAAACCCACTTCTCTTGTGTCTCCTGCATTGGCCAGCAGATTCTTTACCCCTAGCGCCACCTGCTACGGGGAGTTTAAAAGAATGATGAAACATCCCCTCTTAACCAGTAAGGAAAAAAAAGCGCTCCTTCCTTCCTCCAGACTAGCAAAGGGCCTTGACAGCTCATGGGCTGGATTTCAGGTTCCCATCTCTCCTCCTGTCAGGGCATAACTTACAAAGCTGCACCCAGAGCTCTGCTTTGAGAATTGCAGAATGAGGAGAACACAGACCCTGACCCCAAAGTGCTTCCCTCCACTTGGGAAATCGAGATATGAATTCAGACTGGAACCTTAGCTGCTCAGTATCTGTTGACTTCAACCAACCTATTTTAAAAACCTTCCAAGTACTAAGTGCTACTAACCAGAGAGTTGGAGACAGCCATGTTGTTATTTGGGGTCATCCTGGAAGAGGTGGGACGAGGCAGGGCTCAGACAAGGAGAAGCATCCAGTGCCTCTAGGGAAAGCAGGAGTTACATGAGCCAGTGCATCTAATTCAGCTGCGTTCAACTGCCATTTAGCAAACTTCTATTCTATAAGCCTTCCCTGGGGGCTTGGGGATAAAGATGGTGTACAAGCATGTCAAGGAGCTTGAAGTCCAGTTAGACTGACCTGGAAACAATTCGACTGGGCAACTAACACTTTGAGACTCTGCAAATAAAATTTCCAACAGGGCTTCCCTGGTGGCTCAGATGGTAAAGAATCTGCCTGCAATGCAGGAGACCAGGGTTCCATCCATGGGTCAGGAAGATCCTCTAGAGAAGGGAATGCAATGCACTCCAGTATTCTTGCCTGGAGAATTTCATGGAGAGAGGAGCCTGGAGGGCCACAGCCCATGGGGTCGCAAAGAGTCAGATGACTGAGTGACTAGCGCGCGCGCGCGCGTGCACACACACACACACACACACACACATCAGTCAGGACCGATCAGGCTGCCCCCAGTCGCCACCCTGCCCCATGACAGCGTTTTCCTGGAGGGCACGTCCCTCTCACTCCAGGGCTGCCCTCCCAAAGGTTCAGAGTCTTCTAAGCCACAGCCTGTCTTGTTTATTGGTGTGTTCTTTGCAGTTGCCCCTAAAAGAGAAGATGAATGTCTCCTCCCCTTAGCAGGGGCTCCCTGCTCAGTGTCCTGTCCCTGGTGCTCTGGTGCTGACAGAGACGCCCCTGCATTATTTCTCTCGGTTTCCACACTGTCCTCAGAGTGGGGTAAGGAGTGCTTCTGAAACATCGCCCAGGTGGGTCCTGGAGACGGGGAAGGGTAGGGGATGTATGTCCTCAGATGAGCCCGCCGATGTGACGTGATGCCCACGATCGCCCGCCAGTAAGCGTTGCTGCCACCCAGAGCCCAGCTGCCGAGCAGGGCAGACAGAACTGTTCAAGGCACAGGTCCTTCTGGACCCTCATGCAGTTCGCCTCTTGGCTGGAGGGGCGGGGTGATCCAGAGATGCTTCCGTGGGCTTCCCTGGTGGTCCAGCGATGAAGAATCCAGCTTCTGGTGCAAGGGGCATGGGTTTGATCCCTGGTCTGAGAAGATTCCACATGCCGCAGAGCAACTAAGCCCCCGCGCCGCAGTTACGACTGCTGAACCCATGTGCTGCAGCTCCTGAAGCCCGCCCTAGAGCCTGCGCCCTGCAGCAGAAGACACCTCCGTGAGGAGTCGGCAACCACAACCGGAGAAAGCCAGAGTGCCGCCACGAAGACCCAGCACAGCCCAAAATAAGTAGACTTTAAAAGATCTACCATGAGCTACCGCAGCATATCCATCAGCATGGCGGGAAGTGTAAAGGCGGGGTGGCAGGGACGCGGAGCAGTCGCAACTCGCGTTCATTGTCGATGGGTGTATAAAGTGGGACCACAGCGCTGGGAGAAAAGCCAGGCAGTCTTTAAAAAGAGGAGAGGGAGAGATGCTTCTGAAACAACTCAGAAAATAAAAGAGGACTTTCTTTGGCTTCCCAGCTGGAAATCAGGACTGCACGCTGAGCAGGAAGAGGAGTAGGCTGTCAGGGAAGTAAGGTCACGGTCTCGGGCTGGGGGGACCGTGGGGCTCGGGGGCGCCTCTCACACAGGGAGGGGAG